TTTTTGTCCATTATATCGAAATTTGATTGCGACCGTCGATCATAAACCACAACCTTGACGTGGGCAGTTTTTATCTAAAAATTGTGAAAAGTATTTATATTTTTTGTGTTTTAGTTCTTATTGATTATCTGCCAGTTTTATAATTTTAAGCTTTGATGACAAATTTTCATCGTAAAAGTAATGGTTGTATCTAATTAAACATAGCAGAAATTTTCCTGGTTCCTTATCAGGTCTATGTGTATCAGATAATCAATCATTTGTGTTATCTTGTAAGCCGATCGTTAAAAACTGCGATTCAATTATATCAGGCGTACGTACTGCTTTCTCTTTCCTTAACATTAATTGATGCCAATGGTATGTTTTTTGAGATACTTCTGTTGTTTTTTTTGTTGTTTTTTTTTTTGCGTTTAGTTTTTGATTTTTTTTTCTTTTTGGCGTGTTGGGTTTTAACCATTCTTACAAATATTGATTGAGATCATTTGTTGTAAGATTGAGTTACAACTACTTTGAGTTAATAGAAGATCCAGCTTCTCTTGTTTTTTTTTGTTTTGTTTCGTCGTGTTTGGTTTTTTTCCGATCTTAACCGATCTTAAGCAATCTTGAAACTATTGATTAAGTTACTTTTATAGTTTTGCATCTTGTTTATAGTTTTGCTATCGTTTTGGCAAATTAGATGGCTTAAAACTTATGGTTCAGTAATTGCTCTGATCACTGGAAATGGAGCAACTTCAAAAAACATGAATTTTTATTCTGAATATTTGATCATTCCTTTTATTTAACTCATAGCGATAGTTCTACTGTTATTCTAAATTTTATCTTTTAATCTTTTTAATGTGGATAATACCTCCCTAGCAAAACAATCATTTAGTGGGTAGCAGTATTCTTTCGAACTGCGTGAAAAGTTTTTAGCTGTTTGATTTTTTGCTCACAATTAATATCACAAAATTTATACGTCTCGGTTATTGATAAGTTATATGCATAGAGGAATAAATGACATTTTCTAGACCTTTTGATGTATTTGGAGATTTTCAATTCATTTAATATTTTCAGACTTTTGAAGAATTATTTAAATTTCGAACTCCGGTTATATGATCCATATGATGTGTACAAAAATAATTTTGTTTAATTGAAGTGACTTAGACGAAGAAAAAAAAAACGTTTTGTTTAAGATTTCAGTTCAGTGATCCATAACGAGTAACTCGAAGATTCCGGACCATGTTATACATTGATAACATAGGTGTTGTTCGAGTGGGTTTTACTTCCTAAATCGATTTTTTTTGTAGTCTAGCCATGATTTTTTCTGGTACATGATTGCGACAAAGTTTTTTATGAACTCATCTTTTAAAAACTTTTTTTTTGCAAAAAAAAACATTGCGATCGCTTTTGAAAATTGCTTCTAGCAATTCAAAACTCAAAAGTTTCTTTCATTACTGTCTTTTTCTACAGATACCTTCCTCGATAGCTTTGTTTTGAATCTCACTTATCTAACTAACTGAGAATCAACTAGCCACGCGCTAAAAATTGTTCTCTCACTCTGAGAACCAACAGCTCGACTCAATAGCAAAAATTGTTCCGATTCTTGGATGCTCTTCAGTACCTTTCAGTTACTTATCTTTACTTGCACTTAGCTTCGATTTACACCACGCATTTCCCTATCAGTCCTGGGCTCCGCTTAACTCACTCCTCGGCACATAATTGATAACTTTATCAAGTGCGTAGTTCAAATTGTTTTATCAGTTTTGTCACGTTTTTTAGACACGGGTATGCTGAAGAGGTCACAATTGGACTCAAGCAAACAAATGTCCTACAACATTAATCTACTAATTTTCGACCTCTCTGAACTCTAGCTCCTGAGTTCAATTCAACCTCACAAGCATGCTATAATTTTCTGTGAGCCTCCCAATGTCTTTTTCAATTATATCGTAATTGTTTCCCTCCTCCCGTCGGTAGGAGGAGACTTCTTTTAAAGATGGCAATTTCATTGCAAACTTCTTAGGTGTCAATTCAAACTTTATTCGAATTCCGACCTTCTAGCTATAAGGGGGACTTAAATCGTTTATTAGAGGTCAAATTGATCAAACAACAGCCCCGCTGATCCCTCCGCTGTGTAATTTGTCCATTCATTCATAAAAATTAGGAAGCTTCCATGTCATGCAACGCTTTTATTTCTGCAAATCTCTCTGGGACTACTTTTCAGGGGTCAAATTGAATTGCTATTAAAAGTCTTACTATCAACCGAGCTCAACCAAATGTTTTTAAGTCATTTTTAAATAATTCTACCGCTCCAACACTATATACAAAGAACAAAACATTCCTATAGGCCCCACGACTTCTAATTTATCACTGAAAAATATCTCCAAATCACTTTTATTCCGACTCAATGGTCACTAAGTTAATTCTAAGAGAAGGTTACTTTTCCGTGTTAATCCAGGGGTATTCTATGTAGTTTTGGACGTAAACGCCAAAAGCTCAACTTAAGATCACCACAGTTTCAACCGCGCCTTATCTCCAATGTTTTTTGGTCAAAACGCTTGAGGGTCCTATCTACCAAGTCTTATCATTATCCGATAAATACGCCACCAGTTATCCTATTTCCAAGGTTCATTGTTACTTTTCACGAGAGTTGGCTATTAAAATCAGAAGGTGAAACCAAAGGCATTTGGTTCACAAGGTTTTTTTTGTGTCGGTAGGGACCTATATCTAATGCCGCTGTCAAGTCAGTATGCGCTCGCTCATTAATGGTGTAACTTGACTTTTTCCTGTCTAATCGTGTGTTTTACCAAGTGTTATTAGCTTCCAATTCAACCGTTGAATGTGGTTAAAATTGAGACATATGATGTATTCTACCTCTCATTACTCCAAGTTTCAGCTTCCAACGGGGTTCGAGAAAAAACTCGGAAGTTAGGGGTGGGCTTATTTATTTAGGTAACAAAAAACCAGAATTGGGGGTCCATGGGGCCTAGGGTTCCAAACTTAAGCTACACTCAACTAGGTCTATATACTAAATTTTAGGTCCATGTAAACTACTAGTTGCCGAGTTTACATAGGGCCATTTACACTTTCAAGAACCGCTATCACATGGACCAGGGGGGTCCGAGGGTTCCGTGTTTTTGCATGCCCGGGTCAAATCATCTTTAGTACCGCCCCTATGAGTTCCATTACATTAATCCTTGTGAATCCCAATATAGGGCAAGCGGAACTGCCGATTTTATTCCATCATTAATTTCTCAAATGGGAGCTAATAATTCCTCAAACATTAATCCAGTCTAAACGTGACTCATTGTTTACTTGCCTACTTACAGTATTGATTAGCCGATACCCAGCTACGTACTATCCATTAACCCTACAACACTGCACGAAACTTCCAAGATTTTGCTCTTTCAACTGAGTTTAACTTTGCCGAAAATGTCCTACATTCATTTAAATTTTGAAAATTGGCTCTATAACAAACGGAACCAAAAATTTGTAAATTTGATAGCTCATAGAAAGTCAATTTTTTCGGGAGAAAAACGCTTCAGCTTGCATAAACTCTCTGTCACTTTTTTGATAAGTCAGATTAAAAATAAATTGCATCTTATGGACAAACTTTGGGTCCATAAAGCGGTTTTATCAAAACCATACAAAATAGGAGCGAAACGTTCGTATGGCGAATGGTGAAAGAAAAATAACATTTGTTTTTGCCAGACTAAGTTAATAATTTAATTTTTGGTTATTTTTAAAGTTAGATTTGGTCTTCCAAGAAATCGTCAATGCGTTTGGCCATTTTAGAATCAAGAAAATCTTGGAATTTCTTTTTGAAATTAGATATGAAAGTTTCAGTGATCCTCCCCCATCTCCCTCGGGCAGATCAGATTCTGCGGCAAACTTTTCGAAGCTCAAGAGACACACAATGTTTCTGATCAGCCGCGAAAAATAAGTTTGGAGGCTGTTAAAAGCTATAAATACCAAAAAAGGCTGCATGAAAGCTAGTTCATAAAACATTTTTGAACTCCGGCCCATCAAAGTTTTGACGTTTTGCAGCTATAAATTTTTTTCGCTAACGGAAATCGATTAAATTATTTCCCGATAATCGTAAGATAGTTCTAGGTCATGAACTATATTACTGGAGCAATGAGAACTGGAGTATTGCTCCATGAGGTGACAAAAGAAGTTGACGTTACGATGATGACAACACACCTGGTTAAGGTATTTAGTTAAGAACATGATCTTTCAAATAAAGGTTTAAGATAGAGCAGACATTCACTTATTTGCTGTTGTTTACATTCATGTTTTGAATGTTGCGACGACTGCTCGGCAAGCATACTTGAGTAAAACTACGATTCAAATTGAAAATTGATTCATCATTGACAAAGGATGCTTTTTGAGCATTATTATCTAGAAAACTGCCACTTAAAGTTTCTATACAAATTGAGTTAGGGATAAATGGTTGGTATAAGAGTTATAAAGAATATTCTGAGAAGTGCAGAAATTTGAAAATGATTTTTCCTTTCAAAGATGATTTTTAATTACTTGTAAACTTCTTGTTGTTTGTGGGTTGATTGATTTAGGGTCAAAAAAACTGCAAGATCATTGGAGGTATCAACAGGTAAATCAAGGTAAAAATTGCAGTAGAATTAAATTCAGCCTCTCAGGCGCTTGGTGCTTCAATCTTTCATCATATTCTGTGTAATTTATTCCAAACACAGGAAAGTTCAGAAAAATCATTCGAGGTTTTTTGAATCCCAGTAATGCTAAAAAGGCTTTAATACGACAGCACTCTTGTCAATCTAGGAAATTTTGGACGCTTTTTGGGGCAAAGAAAAACGCCCAACGCCAGTTCCTTGCAGTTACTCCGTGGTCGGAGCAAAAAAACTTCCCAACGAAAGACCGCAGCAAAATGTTAAGCAGCGATGATTTTAGTCGAAATACTTGTTATGATCATAGATCATTCGGCCAATCTTGCGAGCTTCACATTTGAGTTCAAATGTCACAAAACGAGTTAGATGAAATAATGAAGAACATTTGGTTAAATGGTACCAAATAAATCGCAGTTACAAACTCATTCGTCCGACAAAAATTATTTTAAGCCGCATTCAAATAATCGTTATTTTCGGAACACTAAAAACCAAGTCGTGAAAATGGATCCAACAAACGTGCTTTCAAAATTTTTATTCATGATCTCAATAACGTTTAGTTTCGATGTTCTTCTAACTTCAACTGTCTCGCTCAATCGTGGAGTAAAATCAACCTTCAAAAACCGTCTGGGGGCCAAAAAGACGTCAGCGATCATCAATGGAACTCCGAGTTTGACAGACAGACTGTTTTATGTGCAAATTACACTCTATAGCCTTTCAAGGAAGTTTTTCTGTGGGGGAACACTCATTGAGAGAGACTGGGTCTTGACTTCGGCGCATTGCGTTCACCATGTTCAAGGTCATAGTCTATAATTATTACTAGAGACAATATCTGCGTCATTTAAACCATTCGGACCAATTATTTCCAAAATTACTCGAACGAGTTTTGACCTCTTGATAAGAAGTATTTTAAGGGGGAGCAACATTACCCAGCCCACAAAAAAAACTGCATGTAGTTCCACAAAAAAAATGCATGGGCACAACAGCGGCTTGCCGTGATCAGCCCGTTGGTACTATTTGCCCGTTGGTATCCCCCCCGCCCGTTGGTACTATTTTACTACGTCAATTTTTGGACAACCGACCATAAATTTTTCTAAAGGCACCTTTGGCGCCAGTTTTTATTTTTTGCTAAATTTAGAGAGAAAAAAACGAGCGTTGAAAAAACGAAAGTTTTTGTTAAAAATTTCCAAAAAAATTTAAAAAGAGACTTTTCAGCCAGTTTTGTCAAAAACGTGCCTGCGACTCAGTTTATTTGGCAAAAAGAGCCTCTAATGTGCTTTGCGAAAGGTGAAAAAGAATCCTTTTGGTCGACCTACAAACGGTTGACAAAATTTTTGAAAATCCGGCCAGCTTTGAGAAAGTCCTTATCCACCCCTGTTTAGTAGGATACCAAAAACAATTTACAAAATCAATAGCAAGAAATTGTTTGAACCACGTTATCAAAAAAATGTCGAGTAATTTGAGCTAAAATATTTCATGAATACTCGAGTTTGCAAGCGGTTATCCTGGAACAGGTGTTTTCTGTGAAATATTTCCTTTGCGATAGCAGATCCGATGCGACGCTCGATTTTTTCCGAATGGTAGCTCAGTTTGACAAATTGTCGATACTGCTTGTGATGATAAAGTTCATGCACAATAATATGGGGCTGGAACAAGTTGAAACTTTTTATTTGCTATCTACATAGTTTTTAAAGGTAGTATGAATCACAGTGTAAAAATGACTTTGGTCGGTATTAAATCCCAGTTTTGTGGCGGTAGCTCTAAACGTTTTCGTGTTTAATTTATCTGATATTTTATCTTTTGTGAGTTTTTATTTTTAGCCTTGCAATAAGTCAGATTACTCAAATCGGGTACAAAACTTCTTCATGAGTTGCTTTTTATGTAAGCTGCAAGCTTACCAACTCCGATTTAGTACAGTCTCAGTTTTTTTACTCTTTTAAATAACCTGTTGGAATCACATTGCGTCGTTTGGAGTGCGAAAAAATTCTGATTCCTGTTTGAGGTTATAGAATGTTGTACTACAAAAATTTATAATATTTTTATGGTAACATTTTTTGGGCTCAGCGAGTGTCTCTTCAAGTTTTGTTGACTTTCTGTCCTCTTGGCTTTTTTTCCGATCCAAATTTCTCAAGCACTTGTCTAGGCCTGTTTTTTTAATGAACTTTATTCAGTGCAAATTGGAACAAGCAGGAAAAGTTTGAGCAATCTACTTTTGCCTTAACCCAGTCGACCAGGGACTCTTTCAAACAAGGGTTATCTTGCAAGAGCTTTTAAGATGGCGGTTATCATGCAAGAATCTTGCGAGATTCATGCTAGATCTTGCAAGATAACCTACTATGAATAAGTTTTACAAAATTTTATTCTGAGCGCTAGAAAAATATCATGGAGCTCCAATTTGACTACGGTAACAAAAAGTTTGAAATTGGATTAAAAAATTAAGCTGTCCAAAATTTGAAAAGGTTCATTATTATGCAATTTTTCAATTTTTGGAACGTAAAAAACTTCAGGTTGCGGCTATAATTTATGCAATTCGATTCAAGATTTCCAAAAACATTTTTTAAATTGGAATATTTCATCTAGTTTTGCAACTCTAGTGGTTTATATTTAACTTTTCGTTAATTTTGTCAAAATTTTGATCAAAAGATTCAATCAGCTTGAGATATTTTGTATGCTGTGATCACATAAATACGTTTGAATACGTTTTGGGCGGTTATAATTTTCTCTTCTTTTATTTGCTTAACTATTCAAATATTGCCACTACATTTCCTACATAACCGCTATAGCTTATAGTTGCGCGCAAAATTGTTTTTTTTTCCACAAAAAAACGATCTTGCTTTTAAAAAATTATCTGTAAACGAGATTATATTGCAAGATCTACTTCCTTGATCGACTAGAGTAGTTGCATTTATTTTGTTTTCTGTCGGCTAGTTAGCCATGCTTATTTATATGGTTGGATATTCAAAATTATTGTATAGTTGAGCCAAAAAATCCCGCAGCGAGCATTTAGGGTTTGTTGGCCAAAAAAGTTTCGTAAAATAGTAACAAAAAGATAACAAAGGTTTGTTTGGATGATGAGGAGGTCAAATTAATGAAAAGAAGACATCCACGACTCCTCTCATAGCCACATCTTGACTTTACTTTGCATCTACAAAAATGTTTTGACTGATTATAAACAATTTAAATCAAGCCTACATAGTGAGAATGAGATCAAAAATTTTTGCAGTGTTTGTAGCACAAGAAGTGCTGAGCAAATACAATTTTGAGTTTTTCTTCTAGACATTTTTTGTAAATGACGAGTAAGAGGAAACAAAACTGCTTGTATCAGGGCAAAGCCCTGAATTTTCCGACCGCTTTTCAAGGTTTATGGAGCAGTAATAAAATACACGCAATTTCAAGTACAAAAAGACAGATTTCGCTCCTTGTAACAAATCAATTATGGCAAATAAGCTTCGTTCAACCAAATTGGAACTATTTCTATGACGGACTCCATCTCCGCTTACGCGTTAATAGCGCGAAATATATCGCGCGTTAATTGTCCAAAATTGGCCAAAATGGCAATCTTTAAACCCCCATAACTTAAAAAAAATAATCGCAGGTGTAATATCTTTTCAAATTTAAGCTCAGAATAACAATACCTTTTGAATGATATAAAAAAATTCCTTCAAAATGGCTAGTCAAAAAGTCGAAATTTGTCTGAAGAAAAAAAACTCACCGCAAGCACAAACATTCCGTTACTTTCGTATCGAATGTCGGAACAATAATATATTGTAGATTTTATATATGTCTATAAGTGGCTATAACTGATTTCTGCTCGATTATCACGCTCGATTATAAAAAATTCAACTTTCTGGCTGTCACATCGTTATATTCAAACAAGAATATTTGAATAGCAGAAATTTGTAAAACAACAAAATTTTCAATTATTTTTCTATTTTAGCAAACAAAATTCTTGCGACGGTTGGCGACTGCAGTGAACTGGGTTGTACTCCAAGAGCCAAGAGAATCCACAAGGTGGAAAAGATCTTCATTGCACCCGGGTAGGTTAAATTCCAAAACAATGTCCCAAAATGGTAGCCGGGGCGTACGCAATTGGCAGAGAAAGTTACGCATTGGCAGAAAATTTTACTCAATTGGCAGAGAATGTTACGAATGCAACAGTTAATGAACAAAATGTCACTTTATTTCAAAAAGGTCACTTTTTCGAATATGGATCTGCTTCTATGCTTGTATTATCGAATAGAAAAAAGCCCTGATTGTTCCGACTGCCTATTAAAGTCTATGGAGCAGTTATAACATGAAAAAATTAATGTAATAAAGTACAACAAATTTTTTTTTTAATTTTGAGATTTTTGAGAAAATCACCCCCCGCGCGCCATATAGAGTAAAAAGGGATAAGTTTTGCTCCTAGTAACAAATAAAATATGGCAAACAAGCTTTCTCCAAGCAATTTGGAACAATTTCTAAGACGGAATAAACCTCTGCTTATGCGTTAATAGCGCGAAATACATGCAACGGAATATTTGTGCTCGGGGTGTTTTTTTTGTATTGTTATCCTGAGCTTAAATTTGAAAAGATATTACACCTGTGATTATTTTTTTAAAAGTTATGGGGGTTTAAGGATTGCCCTTTTGGCCAATTTGGGACAATTAACGCGCGATATATTTCGCACTATTAACTTGTAAGCGAAGATTCAATTCGTCTTAAAAATTGTTCCAAATTTGATGAAGGAAGCTTATTTGCCATAATTGTTTTGTTATTAGGAGCAAAATCTATCAGTTTGTAATTTTTATGGCGCGTAGGAGATTAAAAATTTTGTTACATTGAATTTAATTCAATTTACATTCAATTTTTTCATATTCAATTTTTTCATGTTATTACTGCTCCATAGGCCTTAAAAGGCTGTTGGAATATTCAGGGCTTTGCCCTCATACGAGTAGTCTTGTTTGAAGTTTCGTTATACAAACTGAATTACGAGTTAAAATGCTATTTATTGATATGTTACTCGACTACATGCACTAGGGTTGTTCTGCCTTTGCGTAAAAAAACGCATTTCAACTAACAGTTGAATAAATCCTACTAGATACCATAAGATTTAATTTGAAAAGATTCTCGGCGTGAATGAAATTCGATTTCATGAAATTTTCATGATGCTATCAAGACTATCACGCTGATCTACTTTTTTTAAATAAATAAAGGCGCAAAGTGAAGTATGTGATGTGCACATATTCGCGTATAGATTGGACCAAGTTATTATCCTCCACCGCCCAAATCCACCCCCTTCCAAAGTAGTTGGGGGATAGGGTGTAGCTTCTAAGTGTGAACTTTCAGCCTCAAGCATTAACATGCAGCGCTCAGCAAACTTAAAGGCTGGGTTGGTAGATGCTTACTTTGGCCTATCTGGGATGATGTTAGTTTGATTATTCCGGCTCCAAACAAATTTTTCCAAAACTAAAGTCGATTTTAGATTTTGTTTTTTAAATACAGATACCGGACTGTCGTAGATTCAATGGGCATGAAGCATCACAACAACATTGCACTTCTTAAACTATCCATGCCTGCCTCCAAATTGATAGCCGAACCTCTCCCGATCTGCCGCGAAAATGTACCCTTGGGTGAAATACTTGGGTTTAGCGGCATGGGTTCCACATCGAAGAAGTTCGAGGCGCTACCGACTGCTCTGCGAGACACCTATTTCTACGAATCCGTCTTCTTAAGTCCTACTACATCATCACTCGAAACATGTCCTGAAGAAAACATATGTTCTGATTCTTTGATGCTGGATTCCAGTATTTGCAGTATGGACCAAGGTGGACCATTGTTTAAACTAAAATGTGAGTCAAAGACCGCGGAATGCTTGTATGGAGTTGCGAGTTATTTTGAGAGCTGGTTTGAGCCTGATCAAACTGAGACCGAAACGTGCAACGGGGGAAGTGTGTTTACCAATGCAGTCAAACATTACAAATGGATCGCACATACAGTGTCTTATTCGTAGCCAGACAACTCAAAACTGTAGAAAACTTTTGCCCTGAACTTTAATTTACCGCGTAGCTTTAAACTAATTTAAATAGCTTTAACACTAAACAAACTTCGCAATTCAATCTAATTGACATTATTGAGGAACCTTTAGAATTTATTCTGATTAAAATAAAATATAAAACGTCTATTTATACATTGAAAAGTTTTAAAAGGTCAAAAACAAAGAAAAGACCAGGTACGTGAGATGAAATTTGTTGACCTTTCCACGCCAGTGCAGCTCCTTCTTTGCTTAGCAGCTAACCAACAACAACAATTTGTTCACGAGGTTTTTCCTGCTAGTACATTAAAAATGGGATTTCCCAAAAACAATGCGAACTTATAGTTCAAACTTTCAAATACTGCTCTGAAATGAGCGATCGTCGCAGTTTTTGCTGAAATATTAAGTGCAGCTCAGCGGCTTAAAAAATTTTGGCAAAGCACCATAGAGAAAAATTTGAAAAAAATCGATATGAACTTTTAGGGGATGTTCAGCAAACCACCATGTCTGCAAAATGCCAGATTTTGAAGCCGAAATTAATTCAAAATAATTTAACGCAATGGCAAAACAAAGTTTTATAAAATACAAAAAAGTAAATTGTTGTCGGCTAGAAGGCAATCTATTTCATGTTTTTCGCTTGTCTTAATTTTCGGCTGATTGAAATGATAAATTGTTTTTGGTTATTGGTTTGTCGGCGTCTCAGCTTGCAAAAATTTTCGATAGCTTCAAAAAAGAAAAAAATTAGAACCGATTTTGTTTAAAAACTGATGGCGGCCTAAATTAGCAGAAGTATTTAATTCGTGAAACTGTGCCTAATTCGATTTTTTAAGCTAATCACGTGTAGAAAGATTATTGATTCAACCATTTTGGACAAAAATGCATTGTTCATAAAACGAAACAAGACTGCTCGTATCAGGGCGAAGCCTTGAATGTTCCGACTACCCTCTAAGGTTTATGGAGCAGTAATAACATTAGAAAAAAATAAATGAAAGAAAAAAAATGAAAAATTTTTTTTCTTAAGTTTGAATTTTTTTTAAATCATCACCCCACACGCCACATAAAGCACAAAAGGATAGCTCTTTTTCCTTTCACCCGCCACCTCACATAAACGTCAGTTTTATGGTGTAACGAGGGGTTTTACAAGGTTAATTATGAAGACCAAAAATGTTTGTCATAGCCTAATTAGTTCGCATGCCAATTTTTGTAACATTCGGATAAAGTGAACAAAACTTCACTAGTAAAATTTTGCAGGTGGGGAGAAAAAGAAAAAGAGCCAAAAGGATAGATTTCGCACCTTGTAACAAATCAATTATGACAAAAAAGCTTCTTTCAACCAATTTGGATTGATTTATAAGACGGATTAGCTCTCCGCTTACGCGTTAATAGCGCGAAAATTATCGCGCGTTAATTGTCCCAAATTGACCAAAATGGCAATCTTTAAGCCCCCGTAACTTTACGAAAAATGATCACAGGTGAAATATTATTTCAAATTTGAGCTTAGGGCAACAATATCTTTCGAATGATACATAAAAAAATTCCGTCAAAAACGGCTAGTTAAAAAGTCAAAATTTGTCTGAAGAAAAAAAACCCCACCCCGAGCACAAATATTCCGTTACTTTCGTATCGAAAGTCGGAACAACAAGATTGCTCATATCAGGGCGAAGCCCTGATTGTTCCGACTGCCGTTTAAGGTTTATGGAGCAGTAATAACATTTAAAAAAATTCAATGAAATAAAACAAAAGAATTTTTTTTTTCTTAAATGTGAAATTTTTTATGAAACTCATCCACCCACACGCCATATAAAGTACAAAAGGATAAATTTTGCTCCTTGTAACAAACCAATTATGGCAAATAAGCTTCCTTTAATCAATTTGGAACGATTTCTAAGACGGATTAACTCTCCGCTTACGCGTTAATAGCGCGAAATATATCGCGCGTTAATTGTCCCAAATTGGCTATCTTTAAGCCCCCGTAATTTTACGAAAAATGATCACAGGTGAAATATTATTTCAAATTTGAGCTCAAGGCAACAATATTTTTTGAATGATAGCAAAAAAATTCCGTCAAAAATGGCTAGTTAAAAAGTCGAAAGTTGTCTGAAGAAAAAAAACCCACCCCGTGCACAAATATTCGGTTACTTTCGTATCGAAAGTCGGAACAATTACTTTCGTATCGATATTCGGAACAAAAATTTATACTAGATGCAAATCTTGAAACAATGAAATAGAGTTCGAATTTGAAGTTTGCAAAAGTTTCAACTCTGAAGAGGAGAACACAAAAAGGAGTCGGTTGCTGCCCAACTAACACAAAGTGAATATTTTACTCACCACAAAAACCATTGCAAAAAAATCCGTTCAATTACAAAAGTGTATTGGACAAAAAAAAAGAAGTTTTTAAATTTTTTTAAAAACATTACCTCTCTTTATTATTTTTTTTCAAAGAAAAAAAACTATCAATTTTAACTTACATATTACACTCTTCTTAGCATTTTTTTTTATTTCCGAGTTTCACATGAATTGAAATTGCGTCGTTAAAATAGCAATTTCACCAAAAAATATATCTGAATTGTGAAAAAATCAGACTAGTCTTCTCCAAACTGAGCAACTTGTTTGAAATAAATTATGACTAAAACGTCTTTTGTATGATACTCATTTCAATAACTAAACTTTTTTGATGTATTCTAAATGGACTGAAAAGGAAAACACCCAACGCCGTAATTCTGCCAAACTCTTTATTAATGAGTGGTCAAAACAATACTTATTTATTCATTTTACTTCGAATAAATTTCTCGAAGCAACTTACAATTGTTTTCAGGAAGTTTTTATAAGAGATGCATTTTTGTGATTGTTGCCAAAAAATGCTCTTAAACTTTGAATATATCAAGTACTCATAAAGTTCAGAAAAACTCATGTTTTTGGCTTTTAAAACTGACAAGATTATGCGTGCACCATCATCCTTCAGGATCTTTCGATTTAATTGTTCTAATCATAAGCGAGGTTGAATATTTTTGTTCCGACTTTCGATACGAAAGTAACGGAATATTTGTGCTCGGGGTGGGGTTTTTTTCTTCAGACAATTTTCGACTTTTTAACTAGCCATTTTTGACGGAGTTTTCTTTAGATCATTCGAAAACTATTGTTGTCCTCAGCTTAAATTTGAAAAGATATTTTACCTGTGATCATTTTTCGTAAAGTTATGAGAGTTTAAAGATTGCCATTTTGGCCAATTTGGGACAATTAACGCGCGACATATTTCGCGCTATTAACGCGTAAGCGAGATTTAATCCGTCTTAGAAATCGTTCCAAATTTGTTCAAGGAAGCTGATTTGCCATAATTGATTTGTTAATAGAAGCAAAATCTATCATTTTGTACTTAATATGGCATGTGGGGGATGTTTTCACAAAAAATCTCAAATTTTTTAGAAAAAAAATTTATTTTACTTTAATATATTTAAGTTTTCCATTTTATTACTGCTCCATAGACCTTAAAAGACAGTCGGAACATTCAGGGCTTCGCCCTGATACGAGCAGTCTTGTTATTTATATTAACGGATATTCAATGTTTGGAAAGCCTCCAATTGGGCTTGTTTTGGTTACAAATAATTTCGGTAAACTAATTAGCATCTTCAATTGTGTTCTTTTGACTTCATGAAAACTTATTCTTGAGCAAGCCTCTAAATCTAGGTCTATTTGAGTCATCTCATTTTTTTTTAATTCGTCAAGATTTTACAGATGATTTCGATGCAATGAGAGAGTTTTTTTTCTGACTTTAAAAAGAGGAAGGAACGACTGCCGTTGTGTTTGTGGTGTTCGTGCTCGGTGCGTTGTTGTTTTTCTCGATTATTTTTGTTCCGACTTTCGATACGAAACTAACGGAATATTTGTGCTCGGGGTGGGTTTTTTTTTCTTCAGACAAATTTCGACTTTTTAACTAGCCATTTTTGACGGGATTTTTTTTATATCATTCGAGAGGTATTATTGTCCTGAGCTTAAATTTGAAAAGATATTTTACCTGGGATTATTTTTTGTAAAGTTATGGGGGTTTAGAGATTGTCATTTTGGACAATTTGGGACAATTAACGCGCGATATATTTCGCGCTGTTAACGCGTGAGCGGATATTTATTCCGTCATAGAAATCGTTCCAAATTGGTTGGAAGAAGCTTATTTGTCAAAATTGATTTGTTAAAAGGAGCAAAACCCATACTTTTGTAGTCTACAAGGCGTGTGGGGGGATGATTTTCACAACAATTATCAAATTTTGAAGAAAAAGAAAATTTTCATTATATTTTATTACATTTAACTTTTTTGTTACTTCTGCTCCATAAACCTTAAAAGGCAGTCGGAACATTCAGGGCTTCACCCTAATACGAGCAGTCTTGTATAAATTTTAAAATGTCTGAACGTTGAAATGAAAAAGCGAAAGATATGCATCTATCAATTTTTATTACTAAGAGAGTTTAAAATAGCCTATTTTGGAAGTTAGGGCGCGATTTTTGTTTTGTCCTTAGAAGCGTAACGAGTGAGATGAATCATTAATCATTCCATATTGAAATGAGGCAAACATATTGCTCATTTAAATACATCATCAGGCTCAAACTAGATCGTACTGTCTTTCACATGATGTTTAAAGACATAAAATGAAATAAATGAAGGAAAAGCTTGCATTTGAAATCATTCTTCATTTTTTCAGCCAATAGAGCAATCGAAAGGTTCCATCCTGATTTCAGAGATTCAAAATTTTTTATTCTGGTTTGAGTTTAAAAAAACGGAATAATAACTTAAGGACGCTAAATGGTCATTGAATGAATTTTGTTTTGAACAGCCATTCAGTGAGAAATATCCTTTGAAATTGCACATAGTCAAAAAACTGAAGCTATAATTCTGGTTATTTTGGTCATTATTGGTTGTTTTTATGTTGTTACATGGTTTCTCAGACTCGATTTTTAAATCAATGTCAAAATAGCTCAGCATTTTTAAAATCTTGTTCTGATTAATTTCCAAGAAAATGATGAATTATTTGTACTCGGGGAGGTAAATTTCAACAGAAAAACTTCGACTTTTAAGCTAGCTATTTTGACTGAATTTGAAAGTATCATGCAAAGGTTATTGCTTTGAGCTGAAATTGAAACGATGATTCACCTGCGATCATATTTTGTAAAGCTTTGAAGGTTTAAATTTTGCCAATTTGGGACAAATAAATCGCAATTTGATTAGTGGTAATAAGCGGAGGTTTAATCCGTCTTAGAAATCGTTCCGAATTGAATTGAGGCATGCTGTTAAGTGTAATGAAATGCAAAATATATCACTTTGTACTTTTCATAGAGTTTGATGTGATGATTTTGAAACAAAATCTCAAAAGATTTTTTTTAAAAATTCATTTTTTTGAAAAGTTTTCCATTTTTTAAGTAAACACTACTCTATCAAACTTCAAAACAACCGGAACACTCGAGGTTCTTCCCTAATATGAGCAATTTTGTTTGATCTGGATTCGTTGTTCAAACGTATTCCAAGTTTTACTCAGACCTGCTTTATGTTTATTTCCATTTACTTAATTGTTTTTAATGACAATTTAATATAAAAAAGAATCAAATTTGTTCAATGAGTCGGTTCATTAGCTTGTCTAAAAGTCAATGTTTGACCTGACTGATAAAATGGAAAAAAAAATTTCTCCTTAAATTATAGTTTTTATGTTTGAATACAGTTGAATTTTAGTTTTTTTTCAATAGAAAACTATGTCAGAACATAAAACAAAATAATGTGCAGAATAATTCCGACAAGTAAGAAAACTGCTGATTTAGCAAAACCTATATTTTTCCAATAATATACCAATTACAAGGAGCAATGGATGCTGTTAAAATGTTTGACCTGACTGATAAAATGAAAAAAAATTTTCTCCTAAAAATTATAATTTTTATGTTCCAAAACAGTTGAATTTTAGTTTTTTTTTCAATACTTAACTATGTCAGAACATAAAACAAAATAATGTGCAGAATAATTCCGACAAGTAAAAAAACTGCTGATTTAGCAAAACCTATATTTTTCCAATAATATACCAATTACAAGGAGCAATGGATGCTGTTAAAATGTTTGACCTGACTGATAAAATGAAAAAAAATTTTCTCCTAAAAATTATAATTTTTATGTTCCAAAACAGTTGAATTTTAGTTTTTTTTCAATACTTAACTATGTCAGAACATAAAACAAAATAATGTGCAGAATAATTCCGACAAGTAAAAAAACTGCTGATTTAGCAAAACCTATATTTTTCCACTAATAAACCAATTACAATGAGCAATGGATGCTTTTAAAACTTAGAAACAACCATAAAAATTTACAGTTACGGGTACAGAAACATTGAAATTTTAGTTTTCAATTGATGACTGGGATGAATTTTTGTTTCGACTTTCGCAGAAAGCGCGAAATATCTATGCTTGGTGTGGTATGTTTATTCAGTCAGTTTTCCGCTTGTTAACTGAGCGTTTTTGGCGGAATTATTTTATAGCATCAGAGAGATATCGTTATCCTAAGCTCAAATCAAAAAAGATATTTCATCTGTGATCTTTTTATGCTACGTTACGGGCGTTTGAAAATAGCTATTATGGCTACTTGGGATAATTAAAACGTACTAAAAACTCGCGTAGTAGGCGGAAAAATGAAAAAAAAAAATCTTCTTTTACTTTCAATTAATTTATCAATTATTCAATCAAAGAACAACTTTTCAGTTGTCCTGAAGTGCAGCCGGAATATTCAGTGTTCTGCCCTGATATACAAGCAGTCTTGTTCAATTTTTGGAACTTTTTCCCAGTAACATTTTGCTGCTCCCTAAAGAAACATTGAAGGGTGCTGATAGAATGAAAAGTTTCTGACCGGACCCAAAAAACGTTTAAAGGCTTATTTTGTAATTTGATCGAAGAGGTATTTGAGTACGGAAGAACCCTCATAAGGAGCACAAGGAGGCTAAATTTTTAGAATTAAAGAGGTTTGTTGGAAAGCTAAGGATCTTTCCGAGCTGCTTTTTTTTTATCCTTCTTATGTTGAAGAAAACATATTTAAGCGCCAAGCCTTAAACACCTTTCCAATGAATCGTTTTTAACCAAAAATTGTTCAATCTTTATTCTGCTTTTTTTTAAATAGTCTTGGTGCTGCATAACCTTGTGCAACGAGAACATCTCTCCGACGCATTTGCTTTAAATAACAAAACAGCGCCCTAAAACAAAAATTCTGTTTTGATCCGGCAAGACATTTTAGATAGTTTCCTCCATTATATGACAAATATGCACCCATGCATCTCAAATTGCTACAGAGAAAACGTCAAAAACGTGGAGAAAATTTTCGTTCATTTCATCTGTTGAAAGATAAAAACTGCAACTTCTTCGTCTCAAGATTGTATTTAGGCAAAATCATAAGTTGGCAAAATCAGGGGCGGATTTGAGGGGGGACGGGTGTGGGGGGGGGGGGTATATTTGACAGCCATGCTATAATAAGCTAATTGAAAAACATTTTTTGTAGAAAAGCTACTAGAAAAACGAAATTCATCAAAAAAAATTATCAGAAAAAAAATCAAAAAAAATTTTTTCAAGTTTTTTGCAGTTTTTTTTTTAATTTTGAATTTTTTGATTCCAGTAGGCGCTAAAATACTCGAAGTAAACTAAGATTATCCAAGTAAAACTAAGTTTTTATATTTTAAATTGAGCTATTGTAAGCTTTTAAGCAATTAAAATAAGAGTGCTCGCTCGCATTAATCGCTCGAAATAAGGCAAAAAAATATAAATTTTCTCGACACTGGGAAAACTTTTTGAAATTTTTAAAAATGGCTTAATATTGCGAGGAAACCAAAAAGAAAAAAACTAAAACAGACCCGAATACAAAGTTAATCCCATTTTCAGTGGTCGGAACAAAAAGAAAAACCAAACACACCCGAATACAGGGGCGGATCTAGGATTTTCTCGAGGAGACCTAAAGCACTTTTCTCCGACCGAGTTCTCCTAAAGCACTGTAAAGTTTTTTAAAAAACAGGTCAAAAAAGCCGTTTTTTTAAGCAATTTTTGGAAAATTTTGACAAAAAAATGGCGTTTTTTTGGCGCGCGCTCCCCCTCTAAGTTAGTATATATTGGCGTCGAAGGCGCTTTTAGAAAAATTTTAGGTTCGGTCGGCCAAAATTGGATTTCTTAAAAAGTACCAAAGGGGGGACCCTTTGGGTCAGCAGCGGGTCGAATCCCTGAGGGAATAAAATGTCAGCCCCCGCCCCCCCCCCCCCCCCCCCCACCTTAAATCCGCCCCTGCCCGAATACAAAGTTTTTTTTTCCACTCTCATTGGTCGGAACAATGAGCAAAATACCGGTTTCTTCTTGGCTATTAGATAAAATTATTTTGGGCCAGTAACCAAAAATAGTATTCCTTTAAATCGGATCGGGAATCGCTTTCTTCATCTGGACAATTTTGAAACTCACTGAGCTAAAAAAATCTCTGAATTCTTTTGCTGGAATCAACCTCTTAGCCATTTCAGGCCAAAGTTTTGAATCGACGTTGCGCGATTTTACTTTGATCCTTATTTGAAAAAAAATGAAAACAATTTATTGAGTTCTCGATATCTTAAGTTAATAATCTCCTCTTATCAAATTTTAAACAAAACAGACATGTTTTTGTTAAAATTAATCACAAGATCTATAATTTATCTTTTCAGTACTGCAAGTCGTTAAATTTACACTGTTAAAGCTGAAACCGACTAAAGTTGATATCTTTTACGGAGTTAGCGGTTGATTTTTGATATATCTATCAATTATAAAAAAAGTTTCCATGTCAATTTCGTACTGTCATTTGATTATTTTTACGTCAATTCTTCAGCTATAATGACATCATATAAGTATAACAACTATATCAAGCTTTTGTGCAATCGTTCTCATCAGTCGGGTTGCTTGGCGCAGGACCGACTTTGTTGTTCTTAGCGCCCAAAACGGGTAACTCCAGTGTCGGTTTTAAAGCAATGTTCGATAACAAATTCGGTGCCAAAAATTGCGCTTGCGATTCCAAATCCACAATTTCTAGTCGACATAAAATGCACGAGTTGTAAATTTCGAAGCTGCAAGGAATGCAAAACGTGGCTTTAATTGTGATTTCTTGGCAGTTTATAAAGTGATCGCTGCACTCTATCTTTTTATGTCGCCCCCAACCGGTCCTGCGACATGCATAGCAATAGCCATGCACACCTCGCGACATTTTCGAAATTTTCCTCACTATTCCGAATTCCAGGAACTGCTTCCGCGTTTTGTCTTCTTGGAAGCTTCTGAGCACATTCTGAGCTATAATCATTTCACGGTTTTCGATCTGATACGTCAGTTTGTTCACGAGGTAATGCAATCTTGAAGTTTCAGATCCTTCAAAGAACATTCCGCATATAACATGTCTGAATCTTAGGACCCAAGTTTGGGCAATGATAGTGAAATAAAACAGCACAAAGCAGCTCAAAACACACATGTTAACCAAAAACTCACGGTCGGGTTTGACTGGATCTGGTAAACATTTTTCGTTGCTAGTAACAGTAGTTAAGTTACTAGCGAAATGGTATGACTCCAAGAATACTTCTATAATACCTTTCATGAATCCATCGCCTTCGACATTGACGACGAAAAGGGTGCTACCTTCAAACTCAACTTCAGACTCCCCGTAATCTCGAATCATAACTAACGTGTAGTAGAAAAAGGCGTTGAAAAATAAAATACACAACGCGGTTGAAGTGTACACAGCAGAAGTTATCAAACTGTAGAAAATTCTTTGGTTCTCGGTCGTAGTTCGTTTCCATTGCCAAATTCTGACTAGTTTTCTAACCTCAGATCTTCTCAGAGTTCTTTTTCCGTCTGTCAGATACTTTTCTAAACTTTCGTTCAAGTAATGGTTATCGAAAGATGTATCTTGAACGTATTCCGAAATGTATTTGTAAGCTTTGTGGAGTATTGTCAAAAAGTATAGGGCCATTATAATCGACAAAATTTTTGAGCCCATTTCAAGTATGGGTCGCAATTTTTGAAAACTTTCCACAATTTTCTGTTCGATTTCAGAAGCATTTGAACTTTGCTTAGACGTTCCATTTGCTTCGAAATTGTAGTCGACTTTGTAGTAAAACTGCTCAATAACGAGGTCGGCGGCTTTTCGCGCCGACTTCGCCGCCCCTTCCGCGAGGTCCTTGCTAGCTGTTGCGGGGTAGCAGGTGGAAACACTACCCAAATCACTGGTCCCCTCGCAAAAGGAGGTAAAGTTCATACACGTGTCTTCCGGATTGTGACTTGATGCTAGAGATGGCCCATATAATTTAAAACCGAATTACGCAACAGCGCTGCTGTATAAAGTAACTTTCAATTTACAGCTATTACCTATAAGCTCAGAAGAAAAAGATTTTACACCCGTAAAAATTAGAGCGCGCTCAAAAATTTTCTTTTCACTTAAGGTTTGGTACAGATTGGGTAAGTACCAGTACGCTCCTTTAATATAAAAACAGTTTTTTGCTTTTTTTTGCAAATAAAAACAAATAGTTAAGTTGAGCGCATTTTTGAGGAGGAAAATTTGCAAACTTTGCATGCTGTGTTTCACAATTAATAACCCTACATTGACATTACAGCACTGTCCTGTACAGAGCTATAATATTAATGTCCATCTCTACTTGATGCAGTTCTTGGAGTGTTTCTCTGGGTATCTTCATTTTTGTCGGCCGTTCTCTTTCTCCGCTTCTTTACTGGAGGGCAACTTCAACGGCATTTGATTTCAATTTGATGTTTTTATAGTTTGAAAGAAATAAGACAAAAATATGGTCCAGTTCCTGTCCAAAGTAGATCTCCAAAAAAACCAAAGTTGTTATAATTTTTTCATAGCATTAACTTAATTCGAAAAGACAGTATCAACAAGTTTACCGTATTTTCAAAATCATGATCTAATTTTGTCAGCTCATAAAATTAAAAGAAAACTATAGAATCAATTTGAAATCAAAGTTTTTACGGCATGTCAGGGAGGCAAAGCCCTCTAAACACAAAACATCGAGTTTTCACAAAAATGTAGCTAAATTCAAGAAAATTAATACAAAGTTTATCAGTTTTTTTTTTTGTTTTCATCTTCTTTAAATGCGACTAACTAAGTTTCAAATACACTTTGGACGACAAGAAATAACTCGAAAATATTTCATGACTTACGTCTCGCCATTGGGATCTGTTATTTGTTCATCCTCTTTTTGTCTAAAACAGAATGCGATTTTACTCCCAAAGCTTTTGGGTAACATTTCTGGGAACTTTAAGGCCAAGTATTTGAGCCATCCCATGAGATGTTTTTTGTATGGTACGCTTAGTTATGAATAATGAATACAATGACGTCGAGATGTTTTAATGTCATTTGATTTAATTAACAAATGCCTAATAAAGGATGCAAAAGTAGCGCGCAAGATGATAATCTTAGGAAAAACGTTTCAAATTTAGGGCTACCATATGAGTTAGGACTGCGGTGTAACTCATAGAGTAATTTCGGATAGGGTACACCGTCTGCTCGTCACGCTATCTTATTTTCGGCCGGATAGATTCGTGCAACTTCTTAGTCTAATACCGATCCTAATCTTACTCTTATACTATCTAGTCTCAGGTTGTTTAACTAGTCTCTGCTAGGCTCAATAGATCTAGGGTATACTGGTTTATTGCGGCTGCTGAAGTGCTCGGGAGAGTCCAACTAATTTCTAAGTTAAATTCAAATCTCTCTGGTGCTGAAATTACAAGTAACTTCAGCACTTACAAATAAGTGGGTTGTTAGTTAGATGGATCATGATTGGTTAATATTAAATACTTTACATTGGTAAAACATTTAATTTATCCAATCATAAAATATAGTTTAGATCAGGTTCCACCCATCCGGGTTTTACAGAGTTTTTTAGAACAGTTCTTTTGTAGTTCAAGGATGGATGATGGACGTTGGTATTTGGCGAACATCATTTTTCTTTTGTTTCCTTTTTGTTAAGGAAGTTCCAGGGATCTGGAATTGAGGACACAAGACGTTGTGTTCTTCTTGTGACAACGACTGAGTCTCTGCAACAGCATCAATTCTGGTTTCAGAATGGTTGGCTATGTCAGGTTTTTCTGTTCTTCGGAGAGAACTTCTTTTGTGTTTGATCTAGCTCGGGAATGGCGTGGAGATTGTGCGTGGAGGGGATGCCTGGTTACTCGGATCTGTACGTATACTTGAACATCGAGGTGGTCATTGGTCTAGTTCAATGAAGTCCTTTTCTGCGAGGTCAAGTCGTACTCTAAATCCTTTGAGTTGTGATTGTGAGCGGCATATCGATTATAGTTGGTCATTCTCTCTCGAGTGTAGTGAGGTCGTCTTGTCTTTTGATGTTCGTCCTTGGTGTTGTATTCTGATCTATATATTGCATCATGTGATTTTACATTTTATAAAACTTTTATTAATTTAATATTTTTTAATTATGATTTTAGTTAGTTGTTTTCACAAAAGCTTTTTGTTTTAGTTCGGTTATTTTGAAGAGTTACTCACCCTTGAGTAGCTCTTATTAAAAATAAAGGTGTGGTCACAAAGCGTGGATGTAGCACGGTGGGTTAGGCCGGCTATAGAGCATGCTCAGGACGTCCTTTCCTGGTGGGTTAGGCCAGGTGTGGGAGTATGATTTCATGCGGTTTTTATGAGGGGTCCTGTTATGTGACAACATTTTATGTTGGGTTTGTTGTGGTTTTACTTATGTTTTGTTGGTTATGTACTTTTTCCAAAAAGCAAATTGTTTGTGGTATGGGTTTGTCTTTTGACTTTTTTGTGTTTTATTATTTCTTTCTAAGACTTTGTAATAGTCTTCAAAAGAATAAATTATCTAGTTTTAAACTGGGTTAATCCGGTTTGGGTACCGTTGGTTTCCTTTTCTTAGTCATGCTGTTATTTTATGATTTGTGGTATTTAGTAAGCTGCGTTGGTTAGTTTTGTTTAGTATATGATTCCTTTCCAACCGGGTTAAAGGAAAGTTTGAAACTTGTTATTATTTGTTAGAGTTGTTGAGTGTGAAAACTTGAAACTGAAATTCATTATTTTAAACAATTCTTCGTGGGCGAGCTGTGCGAGTGTGGATAGAATTTCTGTGCGAATGAATGAAAATATCAAAAGGTTAGTACTGCAATTGCATTTTATTAATTTACTGCATAGAATTTGGAAATTTACTGCCAGTAATGGGGGAATTTTAAGATACAAATTTTCATCATATGTAGATTTACTGCTTTTAGGGGAAAATTTTATAAATTAATTTACTGCATTGGTATTATATTTATTTAATTGTTGGTGCAAAAGTTAAATAGGGTTTTAAATAGTTTTGAAGAAGTTTGCTATTTTTTTTTTTCTTTTGTGAATTTTTCAGATGATTGAAGATGAAGGCTAAAAATCTAAAGAAAACATGAATAAGGAATGGTGAGTTTTTCAATATTTTAATTAGTTAGTAATATTCATTTAGTTCATACTTACCTGTTAGTCGTCGGGGAAAAAACCGTGGGGGAAGATATCGTGAATTAGTTCTGAAGTTGTTAGTAGTTTAGCTAAGATGCGGATGATATTTTTAGTTTGAAGTAGTGGCCAAAGCAATTGAAGTGCCTTAATAGTGGTTAGTTCTTCAGTGCCTACTGCAAACTCATAAGGTGTGTTTTGGATTAAGTTATATAACTTGTGGTTAAATTTAGTGTTGTGGATGAATTCTAAAATGGGGATTTCTATAGGCTGTACAAACTCGTGCGGGATAAGGAAGGGTCGGGATTCTTCTGCGTTGAAGGTCTTGGTGATGGGGCAGAAAATATACATTTGGGTTATGGGGTCATAATTACGAAGAATACCATGAAGGTTAGTATTTTTAATACAATATGTGAAATTTAGGAAATACGGTGAAGTGTATTTTGAATTGATGAATTGAAAGCGATGGTGTGGTTGTCTAGAGGGTGTGTGGAGGTCAAAGTGATTTTGGATGAAACGATAGTAACTGTATGTATGTGTTTGTTTAGTTCGCAACATAATATCGTGTGAGCAGTGTAAATCTCTTTCGTGTGGTGCAAGGAAATGAAAGGTTAGTGAAAAGATTTGGAAGCGTTCTTTAAAACTTTCGTACGCTTGTGTGCTTGTTAGTGCTTCTGAAATAATGTGATCAAACTTTCGGTCGAAGATGTTTAGTGTAAATACATATGGTGTCTTGATGAAAAATTTCTCGGTGATTTGTGGGTTAGCGAAGCGATCGTCGTCTAAGAATTGATCTTGGTTAGCTCTGATGATGTTGTGATCATAGTATTCTAGTGTGTATTCGTTAGCTCTAGGTGCAGTGTGTATTTTTAGTGATTTTTTATATCCAACGTAAGTAAATTGTCTAGCGGTGAGTGGTGTAGTTAGTCGATATAGCATGTCTTTGTTTCGGTCTATATCAATGGATGTGTTAGTTAAAGGTAAGCAAAGAGGGTTAGTGAAATGATAGTATGAGGTCCAAGAGAGAGTGGGCATTAAAACGTATTCGTCTACAAAGTTGCGTGTTTCGTTAGCGTCATGAGGGGTGTTTAAGGTGTATTGTGGAAATGAGGGTAAAGTGATGGCTAAAAATTCTCTAGTGTTAGTATGTTGGGGGTGGTTGATGTATTCTCGGGCTGTTCCTGGTTTTGCTGGGAAAGGATGGTTGGGGAACTTTCTTTTAAAAGTGCGATAAGCTCTATTAGTGTTGAGTGAGGATTCAGTTGATGTGGATGATGGTGCTAATGATTCGGTATAATTTGAAGAGGGTGTAGGGGGATTGGATGAATTTGTAGTGGAGGAGATTTGGTTTATGGTCGGGGTGTTAAGGTGGTAGGGTTGTTGTTGGAGGGTAATAAAATTGTCTAGCTCTGGGGAGATTCGGGGGGTGTCTGGAGATGATTGGTCAGAATGGTATGAGGAGTAGGTTGGGGTAACTTGGGAAGCATAAGAGGGTGTAGGAGTGATTGGGTCAGGGTTATTTGATAATATGGGTTGAAAAGGAGGTTGAGAAAAATGAGAAGGGTTATGAAAATTATTGGATGGAGATGGTTCTGAGTCGGCAAATTCGTCGGGGGTTTCAATATTCGGGTTATTTAGCTGTGAAATGGAGTATAAAACTGAAATTTGTGAGTTAGTGTCGGAATTCATGCCTGATGTTACATTGCTAGATGGAAAATCGGGTGGCGGAAAAGCAAAAAGTGGTATTATTGGGATTGAAGAGGTAAGGTTGGTTGGATGGGAATTTGATCGATGGAGTGATCCAAGTTGGCGGCTCATCGTGGGCTAAAAAAATTATTATTTTGAGATTGAAAAGCGGTGGTATGGGGCTGTTCAATAATTTGTTCATAAGTATTATCATCTTGTGATGGATGTGTCATTATATGTTGGACGGGACTTTGTGATGTGGTGAGTCGAAAATTTGGATTATGTGTGATTGCTAAATTTCTAAAATTTCGCGGGGCTAGGGATAGTGGATGGTTATTTGGTAGGGGTGGTAATTGTGGTGCCGTTGGCTGTGTGTCGACATTGTTATGTTCTTCGTCGTATGTATTTTGTCGTGTTGTTATTTTTGTGTTATATTCTTTTATTTGTGCGTCTAAAAGAATTTTGTTTATAGATGTGGAAAAAATTCCAAAAAATCCTGCAAAGAGTATGCGTGCTACGCTTGCTTGTCTGTTTACTTGTGTGTGTATAGCACATGTATTGTAGATTCCTTTTAAGAGTGAGAAAAGAAATCCAATAAAGTTAAACATTGCGTATAAAATAGTCAATTTTTCTAAGATGTAGTAGGGCCATCCTAGAAAATCTAGGATCTCATTTTTGAGTGTAACAAAGCTAAAAATGTTAATTGGTGATATATCTTGGGGACGGTATTTTTCGCCGTTTAGATATATATAATCTTTTATGTCTTTAAAATATCCGCTATAGTCTTGCGTGTAGATATCGGCAAATCCTGCGGTTTCTGCAAGTTTGCGTAAGTTTTGGTCTATTGATTGTCTTTGTATAGTGTCCATTTGTGTTAATAATTCTTGGAATTGTTGTGTTCTAATGTGATGTTGAATATCTGATTTTGAATAGATTCCTATTGATTGTAAGTCTATATTTGGGTTTCGAGCAATAGCGCGAATGCTTTCTGGTGAAAATTTTTTGAGTGATTGCATTAATGTGGGATATGGAGTGAGAAGATAATATTTGTTTTCATCAGGGTTTAGTT